GAGTTCCCCGTCTTTACCGGCTGTGTTGGTGGCGTATAAAACTCAGTTCCACTGAAATATTTCATTTCTTGGTAAAATGCTAACATGTGATCTTCAGCGATGCAAACGTTGCCATTTCATCAGCTACAGTTTTCAGTTGGGAGAGGAATCAATCAAACCAATTAATAAAAGTTTTTATTGATGAAGATTTGATATCTGGGACATCAGATCACTGATAACTGATTTAAAGAATAACAGATGGTAGAATAACAGCTGGATGGCTGAGTTAAAGTCAAGCAGGCGCTAGGAGGAACGATGTGACCCTTCTAGATGTGATGTCCCAAGTAGATTTAAACCAACAAAGGAAAATGCTGGATTCATATCTTCATTTTGAAACGTATGGATCATTTTAGAGGGAAACATTTTCCTCACGGTTGGGGAACAGCGGAGAAGAGAACAGTTCTTCTGGATGACAGGGAGTTTTCCTCTTCACCACTGCTATATGCTTAGGCTGAGCGATTGCTGAAGAGTCAACAATAACGCTGTAAGAAACAGCAAATCAATGACTGAATGAAATTAGCTGGTTTTCTTCAATAGAAACTTTTAATTAGGCTGGATGATCTGATTGAATCGTTTCTATAAAGTGACCTGAGATGACCTGATATAGAGATAATATGTATAGAGATAAAGTGAATGGTGTTTTTGCTCATCCATCAGTGTCGGACATGTTAGAAATGTGATCTCTGGGTTTGATCTAAAATGATTGAGTTTCACCTATAGTTGCTTTAACTAACGAACAGACTCTGATCCATCCCTGTCTGCTGCTATAGATGCGTGTTTATCCCCCTGCAGTTACAGCCTTGGCTCACTCCCAGCCTTTAGACCGATGGTGATGCTGCAGCTCAGTCTTCACTACAGTTTGTCTCCCTCCTAAATTAAATCCACCAAGGTCGACTGAACGTCCTTCTCTCCTCCAACCATAAAACCAGCAGCAGCTTTGGCTGTATGACCGGCAGGCTCGGCCATTCCACCCATTAACTCACCCATATATAAAAGGCTGCAGAGATTTTCATCAACATTTACTAGAAATCTGATATTTTTAAGCATTTCTCTCATTTACATTAAAGGAATAGTACACCCAAAACATGATTAGCCTTCATTTTCTACTCACCCCCATGCTGAACAACACTCTGGAGTACTTTTTTGATA